AGTACATAGTCCCTTGTATCACACAGTACAATTTGTAATTTTGAGTTATGTATTTACAAAAGAGGTCATCACCCAGAATGAAAGCAGCAAGAAGTGTGTTCAAACTGTATTGGAGGATGACGTTTCAGAATTCCCATCTTGAAGTAGATAACTGAATATGTAAGAGATCATGGTGTCAGACAAAAATAAAGCAAGCCAAAAGAACTACCTTATAACCTCTAGCAGGATCCCATAGATAAAATACTTTGTATGTTGTTAACAATGTTAAGTGCAAAATGCAACCCAGAGTGAATTGAGACTACCCAAGCCTCATTGCTGAGTGTCTTTCGAACAGAATTGCTGGAGTGCCTCTCACCTAAGCTGACTGACACCCTTAGAAAATAGGGCACTCTTTCCAGAGGTAGAAGATGCTGGCATGATTTCCTAAAAGTTAGATGAGTCCTCCATCTTTAACCTCCTGCTTTCTGGACAAGTACCCTTAATCACTAAACTAATATATTAATAGCTTGATATATTGTAACACTATCTTCTTCAGTGGTGTTTCTAGGTGCTCAGACCTGATGCATCGTATGTAAAACTCAAAGCTGCTGGTTTATGTAGTCTCTGAACCCAAAATGGAACTTAGAGGTGGAATTTCCTATTTTGCATACCTTAAAAATCTTACATAAGAAAGAAGCCTTTTTTTCAAGCAAACTATTGCAGTTCTGTGACATACCAGAAGATTAAACACATCCACCTTCATCAAACAAAAAGACATAGGGATCTATGGACCCTCAAGAATGTTAGCTGAAGACTTCCTTTTTCTTAAAATTAAATGGATCACTCAAACTTATTCCTAAATTTAATATAAATTTCATTTTAGATGTTTATGTGCCATGTTTGTGTGCAAGTGCACACACTTTTGGCCTCTGTAATGCAACAAAAATGAGAAGAGAAATATTAACTTCCTGACAGGCAGCAGACAAGCACATCATCATTGACATGTTCCATCTATAAACAGCAGATACTGACAAACCACTGACTCCTACAAGCTGAAAGCTTCAGGACATTAAATGAACCCTTCTTTTTGAAGCATTTCTTTTCAATTGTAAAATCATTATATTCAAATAAGGAGATTTTTATTTTGGATGAGAAATTTCAACCATTATTTCATAAAAATTCAATTATATGATTTTGATTAAAATAAGAAATAAAACATCTTCCAATCTCTCAGGAACTTTGGCAATATCCTACCTCATCTCAAATCTCATAGACTTCGCCCCTTCCCCTACCATCTGACTCATTTAACTAAGGCATCTGATTATGACAGTGGGTTGTGGTAGTAGAAAAGTCTCTTTGCAGATCTATCTCCTGGACCATTGGGAACTCCCTTCCTTCTGGAGCTTCGTTCAGCTATATGGCCCACAGTTGTTCCAGGAGGCTTTGTTTAATGCTTCTACTGATTTCTCATGTACAGCACAAAGAGCAGCATTATGCATTTCTCTGTCATTCCTCACCACTGCAGCATAGCTGTGTTACGTTGAAAGTTCTGGAGCACTTCTCGGTACTGAAAAACAATCCTTAAGGGATGCAACTTACCATTTTGTGGGGAATAACTTTCAGGAAGTTTAGAGTTTCGTATGTGCAATAACAATGCAAACAGTAGGAGGGCAGTTCACCAATACATAATAGACCTGACTCTGCTTTACTGAGACTGTCTGTAATTATTCTAGAGATTCAGCCTGATGGTATTAATCAACACCAAGAAAGGGACTGCAAGATCATGCAGCTCCACTTTATCTTGACCTAGAGTCACCTCCAAGTAATAAAAGCAAGTTTAGTGCCTTTGCCCATGTAATTTCTGCCTTGCTGATAAGACTGTCAAAGCCCACGTCTTTTATAGTTGCTACAGATGCTATTCTGAGATACAGTCGCCACTGAATCGACCGATAACTGCCAATAAACAGGCAACAGGGGGTAACAATTTTTATCTATACTGCATTGCACTGCAGACTGGAAAAGCACTGCACATGGAGTGAACGTGAACTGACTTTATCTGCATACAGTCAATCTGATGGATGAAATAAACCAGGTAAAAAATAACCACTATTCAATAAATTATTTTGTTTCAAGTTAGATCAAACATTGTGGTAAACCATATTTCAAAACTACATGAAACAACTGGAAAAGAGAAAAAAAAAAAATAAAGCATATTACCGACTGCTGCTTTTCTTTAAGTCAGTGAGAATGGTAAGTGCCCAGTACATTTTCAAATGGAAACCAATAAAATTTTCATAATTGTAAGGCTAGGTAAGAATCCTTAGAAAAAGCCTTGAAGCTGCTAAGCATTAGTTCCTCCATTAGCAAATCAGCACTCATCACTGCAGAAAAGGTAGCGGCCTATCAAGGCAACAGGGTACAGAATCACTGGAAGTGATGTATAGGAGAAGGATGGGGCTGAGGTATCAGTGGTTCAGGTGAGAGTAGGCAGGACACGGAAGAGATGCTATGAAACATGTTATTGCTGGGAGCCATTTGGATGCACCTGCTCAAGAGCTGGTGATCTGTTTCAGTGGCTTCCAAAACTGGCAAGTTTACAGACATCTCCCATCCTCTGTGCTTTTCAGTGCATTAGTCTGAGTGTTGCTGTTGAAGTGATTCTCCATCTGGGGTAGAGTATGAAGTAGAGGGGAAAATGGCAAGAAATGCTGCCAGAACACTGGTCTAAGATAGGCCCACTGGAGAACATGTGATGGTAAAAATATTCTGGAAATTTAGCCAGCAACTTCTGGCTTACCTATTGTCTAACTCTGATAGGTAATACAGAGCAACTATTGATACATGCTCTTTCATATGAGTCTTGCCTGCAAGCACTAAGCACTGAAAATGATAGAGAAGCATCATTCTTTAGAAAAAAGTAGTTCCCTATTTTATTTTTTTTTTACCAAGGAAAATCCTTGCCATCTTAATTATATAAAGTAGTGTAAAAAAACCCACTCAAACTTAATAATTTTTCTTTTAAGCAAATAAAAAACTCACCAGAAGACCTTGGTCTGATTCTTGAACATTAGCAGGAAAATGAATGCATCAGTGAGAGTCACCATATCATGTTAGAACTAGTCACTGTAATTCCATTCTTCAAGGTTCCTTTAAACTGAACATCACCAGATTCAAGAGATATGCAGAAACTGCAACTGCATTTCATAGTGTGCTGTAGAGTCCTGGGCAAGGGGCCTTTTCAGTGTTTCAGTGATTGCCTTTCAGCAATCTACACATGCTGGTTTTCCCATGAAAAGCAAGAGACAGAGATGTGTGCCTTAATCTCCTCCCAGCTTGAAGTTGTGATCTTTGTATGTTTTCTGTTCTCTTCCTTGCCTGTGGGTATGGTCTTATTAGGTACAAGATTTCTTTATTATGGTTATTCATTATTTATAGCCTTATAGCCTCTGGGAGTACCAGCTAGGAATTAGGATGTGTTCAGTATGTGTACTCAGGCTTGAAGACAGGAGTGCATCTTAGTCCTATGGATACCATCAAAAAGAGTCAATGTTTAGGCACATTTCTTGCTTCCTAATAAAGAAACTTCCACAAAATCTGATAGATAGCATCTTAAAATGACTTACAGAATAAGATGAAATTTCGGAATATGTAACATCACTGCTTTCTCAATTCCTTCCATTCTTGTCCCAGCATTTAGAAACAGTTTAACATTCTATGCTATTTTTATGACTATCTATACTTCTGTAACACCTGAGAATTCTTAACATGAAACAGAAGCACTGTGCAGTGCAACACAGCTCACAACAATAATGTATATTGTACATAAATATAAATAGGGCACAATTGAAGTTGTTACATTTCACCAAACAAAACAGTTGTGTTCGTTTGCACATTTGCCATCAGGAATCCCCATGTTCTCACACAAGTGCACATTTAGATATAGGTAGCAAAACATTAATTAGATTTTCTATTTTTCAGTGCACGCAGGGGTAAGACCTACAAAAGTTGAATCCCTTTCAATTGCACTAAAGGCAATGGGAATCAAAGTTTTAAAATACCTGAGCAGAATCATGACATTCACTCCACATATTCTAATTTTTAAATGTTGTTTTTATGTTAGGTTAATTCAGACTCTTTACTAAACTAATTCAATCCCTGATCCTGCAGTGCTAAGGCAGCAAGAATTTTATTACTATTTAAATGTACTAGTACAGCAGGTGAACCCTTTAGGAGCACCTGCAATCCCAATGGATCAGGCACTTTTCCAAAGGCATAATCCATAAAGACCATATGTGTGCACATACATATGTATGTTATATACACATAAACGTATGTTATATACACATAAACATATGTTATGTATACATATAAATTTATATATAAGAAAGATTATTCAATTTATTTGCAACCCTTGAAAGACTAATTATAATAATCCAAAGGACATTTTGGTACCTACAGTAGCACTGTAAAAAGGGTAATGTATGTTTATTTGTATTTTCAACATTCATTATTAAATAGTAAAGGCTTTCTGATTTTTTCTTTGCATTCTATTGAGTATTCATGGCAATCAGCCCAATGTACAGTTTAGAGGGAAAAAAAAAAGATCATGTGCTCATTGATAAAACTGATATAGATTCTATTCTGGGAAGTGCTGAACAGAAAAGAGGTAATCTCCCAGGATTTTTACTTTTTGCCTTATTTTGTGATTTGAAATACTTATTTTATCTAAGGGATGTAAAAACTATAATAAACAATGATGGAGACTCAATTTTGGAATAGCCATTTATGCCACAAATGCATATGTCTTACTATGAAGAAGAGTCACAGCAAGAGCGCAGAAACTATAACAAATGCTAACAGCCAAAATTAAGCCTTTAATAATCAGATATATGAAAAATCTGACTATAGCACTATGTCTTTATAGTAAAAAAGAGCACTCATATGAAGCAAGGTTAGAGACAGAACAGTATGGACACAGGATATTCTGTACACTATTAAAAAATCAAAGTGGAACGACTTACCACTTCTTCATGGGTAGCACTTTCTACACTTATACCATTAACCTAAAAACAGATATGATAGGGAGAAAATGATTTGCAATGTGTAAATTAGTTACTGAAATAAACATAAAGGCAAGTATGAAACAAATGTCTGAGGAAAAAGTGAATGTTTACTGACCTGTATTATTGCATCTCCTATAAATAACATTCCTGTTTGGTCAGCTGTGGGATTACAGAAGGAGTATATTTTAATTGAAAGTAGTACTGAAAAATAATGCTATATTCTCTTCCAGCAACTGTTTTAGCATGCTGTTTGTAACCTTCATTTGAAACTGATTTTGTTGTGAAAATACCAATGGCATGGCAATCAGTATTCATCCTATAAAAGTAATAGATTCCTAGTAATTTTAAACAAATTAAGAGAGTTACTTTCCTTGCACAAAGAATTTATTTAACATGGAATACAAATGTCATTTCTCACTAATGAAGAATTTCATTAAATTATGTGGAAAGTGTGATTCACACTTTCCATTATTCTTCCACAAAAGGGAAATAGCAATTCCTTTCCCCTGAACAAATTTACAGGGACCGGTATAATTAAAGAGATTGTGCCTAGAATTTAATACAACTCTTTTACATGAAGCTTGAGTTAGCTTTGTTTCTGAGAATAACAAAATACATTATTCCTGTCTGTAATTTGCATGTTTCCTGTCTTACAGAGTTAATGCGAACAATGTAATGAAACTGCAAACAATTCTGCATGGAAATAAACAATGACATTTTTGAGATGTATTCTTTAACTTTTAATTTTTTTACTTTTTAGTGGAATTTGAGGATGTTTATCTCTTGGAATGTATTACTTAATTGAAAGCAAAGTCTGATATGATTAAATAAGGCATACTAGACTTATATGTGATTTTATAGGGTCACAGCTTGAGGATTTGATGAATGTAGCAAATATTAACAAAGACAGTATTTTGAGAGATGGAAAGAGAAGTAAAAAAGAAAGAAAAAACTGCATAGGGTATTCTCACCATTACTGCAGTATAGCTGTTGCACTACAAATGTACCTTTGGTACAAAATAGCTTTTTTCATATTAAATTTATCTTTCTAATAGAGTTTTCATCACTTTTTTGGCAGATATAAGATAACAGTTCATTGGTCATACTTTTATTAGTACTTAAGAAAGATTTCATTGTTTATTTTAAATACCACACTACAAATTGTATTGAAGGCCTTTATCCAACTTCTTACCCTGCTCTGTACTTAAAATATGCACTCAATTTGTAATAGATGGTATAGAAAAGAGACATCTATGTACAGAAATGCAATTGAATTAAAACATTTCAAAAACATCATGAAACAATATGAAGTAGCCTATATTGGGTACCTACATTGCTAGTGGTGCTGAACATTAGCTTTAGAATCTCAATACTAAACTTCTGTTCAAGATATTAGTAATACATATACCAACAGTGAAAAACACGTGGCTCATTTTTAATTCAATGCTTACGTTAGGGCCATTGACCTGCTTTAGGAAAGTGGGAGCATGCTTGAATTGGAGATAGATAGATAGAAAGAAGAGTGTGTGTGTGTTTGTAATTCCAGTTGAGGGAAAGTATAAAACGATAAAGTCAAAGGGTGCATGCCTTGCCTGCTGTGTGTGATCAACTCAGAACTGAGTGGAGAAATTTTGAGCATGTCTTATTAGAAGGTGATGAGGCAGAACAGAGATAGATCATGAATCAAAGCAGGTAGTGCTGAGGCTCCCTATACCCACGCTGTATGGGTTTCAGGGTTTTAAATTCAGATCAGTAGACTGGTCTCCCAGTCTGAATGCTCCCAGGTGATGTGAAGCTGCCCAGGGAAAGCTACTGAACAACACTTTGTTTTGTGTGCCCCTATGCAGTCCATCCCAAAGAACACCAGTGTCACACAGTGATGCACTCCTGCTGCCAGTAATAGCTGCAGCAGGCCACAATACGCAAAAGCAGATCTTGCTTACAGGTAATGCAGTGGTCCCTGCTACTTGAATCAGTGCAGAGCCTGGACAACAACTGAACAAGGTGTAACACAGGGAGAGTAAGTTCTCAACCTGTTTCAGGAGGACACCCCTAATAAGCCAATCTTGGGATATTATTCTGTCTGTGTGGGGGTCACAGTAGGACTCACACTCCAACTCATTTCAGTAAGGCAGATGTGTTTATTTATACTTTAACAAGTACCATCCAGTTGATCTGCAGGCCACAGATGTGATGAGGATGGCATATGTGGACATCAGGCAGTGTTGATTTCCTGAGGCCCTGTCTTGCTGGCTCTTCTGGAAGGCCAAAGCAGCTGTTGCCATTGGGAAGATCAGTTGGAAAGAGCAATATTGAAAAGAAGCACAATAAAAGAAAGAGGAGTAGGGATGTGGGAGATGATTTTGGAAATAATTTATGTGAGAGCTGAAGACAGAAAAACATAGGGCTGGTAAGAAAGGAAAATATATTGAGTCAGAATATGTTTGGGTAAAAGATGAGATCCTGATGGAAGAGCACATCACGAAGAATTGCAGGTAGGTAGGTATCGCCATCCTCCTAGATGTTCAGCAATCCATGACTCACTGCATAATGACACAACAGCACAGCTGTGTAATTTTGTCTTAAGTCTTTAAAGCAAACTGTCTAGTTCTAACAAAATTTATAATAAAATATGTAGACTAGTATCCATGCAAATTAGGAAAGTTAAAATTCCAGACACAGGTAAAATTCTTGAGACAGGGCTAGTTAACAGCTCAAGGCTTGAAGATGGAAAGCACTGATATGAAAAGGTATAAAATCTCAAGGAAGAAAACCAGGTAGCTGGAGGATGGTAACTCAGCAGCATCAAAGACAAATCCTTTCCAGGGAGAAATGCAGAACCTTTCCTGCCTGAGTGTTGTCTGCCAGGTCAGCAAAATTTGCCATCCCACAGGGATGATGTGTACAGCAATATCCCCAGCTACCTACTGTGTGTGTCAGACAATAAATTTTATAGTTTAAGAGCACAAAGCAATTGTATCCTGCTTTCAGAGTCTCTACATACAATCAAAGTTGTCCAGATAAGTAAATGAGAGGAGCATTATGTGGTTGATACCAAATGCTCTACGAACTGAAACAAAGCACAGAAAATGGGGACAACCAGGGTATTTGCTCCAAAAATGCATTACGATTCAAACTAACCCAATAATGCAGACACCTCCATGGCTGCTGCCATCACGACCAGTGACAGTACTCTGGAAAAATATGCTTGCAAGTCTGATGAAAAATTCTGGTTTTAGTCAATTGTCTATAATTTAAAATCAGTGATGATTTATAATGAAAATATTTTCCACTAATCAAATTGCAGAGGACATGTCACTACAATGCTGAAGTTACAATATAATTTACAAGTATAGTAGAAATAAAGTGATTGGAAAAACTCCTTGTAAAGAGACTAAAAGGCAGTCTTGTTTCTCTAAGGCATATTTTAAATCTGAAGACAAGACATCTACTGATGCTTTCATTAAGTCATATATTCTCTACATGACAAAAACGCTAAGTAAAATGTTCCATGCTATGTGGGACTTTTTCTCCCACTGGTAACATCCCCATGTACAAAGGTGTCTATGACAGGGTACTCTGCAATTATCAGTCACTACATGTAAAATGAATCAGTAATAAAAACAAAACACTTGAGAAAGAGCACTGGGATACCAAGGAACATATTACCTTATTCAGAAAAACAGTAAATATAAGTTTTTTAGAATCCAGTATGCCTCTTGAATTTTATTTGAAATAATATTTTAGTGGCAGTGAATTGAACATGGCCAAAAAAACCCATACTTTGAAAAGAAAATAAGCACCAATAGTGATAAGCAGAAATGCACCAGGCTGTAAAAGAAAATGAAGTCTGTGCTGTAACAGTTAGTGCTACATGACTTTTACTCTACATCTTAATTACCTTTAAAAAGGTTTAATATTGATTAAATTCTGTATATAGATCAAATTTACAAGTGATTAAATTCACAAATGATACTGAAGTAGGAGGACAGCATGAGGGAAACCCAAATGGGCTTATGTTGAATAAAAGATAGGAAGATAACTATTTTAAAAAATCTTATTTTTGAGAATATTAGAGTTAAAAAACTTTCCTAGAAGCAAATGACCCATAATCCTAGACATTAAAAAAAAAAATCAGACAGATGAAGATTTATTTTGCACTCAGTGAGAAAAGAACCAGCAATTCTTTCTGGCTTTGCTTTGTTTCCTTTTCCTATCCATTAGGGCTGAACAAGGACAGTATAAAAGTTTCCAAAATTTGCAAGATTGTGAAATTGTAAATTTACTGAACATATTCTCAGGAAATTCTGACTACATGTTAACTGATGCACAACTCTATGCAGACCTGACTCTACAAATAATCTGATGTAAGAAAATTATATTTTTCAAGATTGATCACAATACTTATTGTCTGTTTCTATATAACTGTTGGAGGGACAACAAAGTAGGATTTAAGCAATCCAGGAGGCTCCTGGAATGCACTGATAACAACCTTCTTCAGGTGACAGAGGAGCCAACAAGGAGAGGCGTTATGCTGGACCTTGTTCTCACCAACATGGAGGGGCTTTTGGGGAGTGTGAAACTCAGGGTCCGCCTTGGCTGCAGTGACCATGAAATGGTGGAGTTCAAGATCCTTAGGGCAGAGAGGAGGGTGCACAGCAGGCTCGCTACCCTGTACTTCAGGAGAGAAGATTTCGGCCTCTTCAGGGATCTGCTTGGCACAGTAACATGGGATGAAGTCCTGGAGGGAAGAGGGGCCCAAAACTGCTTAATATTCAAGGATCACCTCCTCCAAGCTGGGGAACGATGCATCTGAACAAAGAGGATGTCAGGCAATATCACCAGGAGGCTGCATGGATGATCAAGGAGCTCCTGGACAAGTTCAAATACAAAAAGGAAGCCTACATAGGGTGGAATCAAAGACAGAGCCTGGGAGGAATACAGAGAAACTGTTCGAGCAGCCAGGGATCAGGTTAGTAAGGCCAAAGCCCTGATAGAATTAAATCTGACCAGGGACATTAAGGGCAACAATAAAAGCATTTATAGGTACAATACTGATAAAAGGAAGACAAGGGAGAATGTAGGTCCTCTCCAGAACAAAATGGGAGACCAGGTTACTAAGGATATGGGGACTTCTTTGCCTCAGTCTTCACTGGGAA